ACTTTGAGTGTTCCCAGATAAAATCTATAGCCAGAACTGAGGTCCTTGCAGCTGCCCTATAGCTGGTTGTAAAAAGAAATGAGTAGCTGGACTGGCAGATTTGGGGATGAAAAAGAATCCAGATTCAATCAAGTGTTGATCTTCATCAATTGTTAAATTACATCCAAACTTGATAAGAGCCATACTGGCTCAATAATTTAATTCAAAGTAGAAGACAGCTATGAAAAATAACTTCCCCATATGATTTCTTACACACTGCACCCTCTACAAAGGTTATACTTCTAATCTCTAGATCTAAGTGTGAAAGTAATGAAAAAATCAAAACCATGGGAGAGGATGTGTTATTTAATAGTGTCACTTCTTTCTGTGTAACAATTCACAACTGATGGAAAACCTTTGAGCAGGCTAGGGTGCCTCTGCTCCAACCAGGACAGCTCAGAAATCACTGTCCCAAAGGACACATATGACTGCAGCAGACTGAGGAACCAAAATTCAAAGGTGGGTCTGTACAGTGAGGTTTCACACAGTGTTCACAATGAGGTTTACACAGTGTTTTACACAGGCATCACTGCCACTACATTTGTCCTCAGAGTAAAGGAAAGCAGAATCAGGCCAAGCTCAAGTTTAACCTGCAAAAGGAGCCCACTGCATATATTCACGTGAATAGGAAAGGGAAATAAACTACTGGCTTTCCAAAAAATAATGCAGTTAGACCTCCACTGCTCAGAAGATGCAGAGAGATCATTTTTACTGTGTGCCTCTCCAAAATGATTTCTTCCTGTTCATAATAATTTTGGATCATCTATGTTGTTGTTCTTCTGGGATTCTGCAATGAATTTTTACCTTCCTTAAGTTTTATTAATCTTGCCTAGAGTCAAATTAATCTCTGCTGTGAGATAAAGCTATGAGTCCTGTTTCTTTGTCTAATTCCTCTATTGTCAGTCATTGGTGGCTTCCTTGCAGAACAGGAAACGTTACTACTTTTTGAGGTAACACTGCAAGCCTTCCTCTAGGCAGATGAAACCCTTCCTCAGCATACAAACATGGAAAATGTGTAGGAAGTTCAATCCTTTCCTTAAAAAATGGAAGAAAAGACAACTTATCATTTCAAGTTAGAAAAACAAAACAAAAACCCCACAAAAAAAAACCAAACAAACAAACAAAAAGCCCCAAATCCATGAAAAGGGGAGAAGAAGCAGGGAAGTTTTCATATCCTAGATCAACAACTAGTAAGGCCATAGAGCTGTGCTGAGTAACTCTTCTCTCTCTGGGCTGTAGCACACCTTCCCTCACCTCGTGCAGGTGAGTCCCAGCCTGGTCAGGAGCAGAAATCTCAAGAGCACGGGGTCCACAAGGCTGGCACAGTGTCCTCGTGCTGGCCCATCAAGGGGTTTGTGCATGTGGTGATTAGAGAACAACAAAACAATACAAAACAAAATTATAACGAGTGTCTGGTCCAGCCTCCTGATCACAAGACTCCAGTGGGAAACCAGCCCTAGGGGAGTTTGCTAAACCTTCCAACAGGACAGAGAAGAGAGAAGGCTTGCTCTCCAGCAGAAAAAATTGAATTTTCTAATTCTCAGCACACTTTCTACAAGAAAAGTAGTGTGATTGATCATCTTAAACTCTGGGAATGCGACAGCATAACAGGTGATATGAAAATCATGTTTTCTGGAGCTGCTGCACTTAGAATGAGCCTTGTGAGGCTTCTATGAATTGGTGGAGGAGAGAGAGATTGAGCAGATTTTAAGCTTTAAGCCCTTTTATTGCACTCTTTCAATGAGTAATGCATTTGTGTATGCATCCAACTGATTTTTAAATATGTTTTCCTGTTGATAAATGTCATATTTAATTACCATCTTTTTTTTTTTTTTTTGAAGATTCAGGCAACCAGGTCTTACTCTTATCTCTCTTTCCTATTCAGTTTATGAATAGGAAATATTCAGTATTCTGAGGGAGGCTGCTGGTACGTATGTGCCATGCCTAAAACAGGGGATCTCCCAGCACAGGCAGGGCTTCTTGTTATTCTTATGATCTTAAAAAATAAAAATAAAAAAAAAGAGATCATTTTATATGAGCTTTTGATAGATGATATGGAAAAACACACACTTCTCAAGCAGTTGCACCACCTCTTTTCATTGTGCCAAACCTTCACAGCATGTTTCCATGTTTTTAAATCTCAGTTCCAGCAACTAATCAGCTCTAGCACTGTTTGGAATTGGGATTCGTTATTTGGTTTGGTTTGGTTGTTTGTTTGGATTTTTTTCTTTTTTTTTCTCAAACTCCTTGCTAGCTCTGTTAGAGTTTTTTTGGAATTTGAGAGTTTGGGGTTTTATTTTGGTTTGGTTTGGTTTTTGATTGAGGTTTGGAGTTTTTTGGTTGATTGGATGGTTTGGGGGCGTTGTTTGGGGTTTGTTTGCCTGTTTTCTTGTTTAGTTCTGCTGTGGTCTGTTTCATTCCTTGAAGTCTCTCATCAACAGGTTAGCCATACAGTGGCTTGTAGCAATCTCCTGCTGTAGTAAGGAGCAATTAATAATTGAAATCACAATTGTTTGGGGCTGTAAAAGAAACGTCAGTAATATTCAGTGTGATCAGCATTGACTGCTCGGCTGGGAATCCCGATGCATCCTGAACTTGGTTTTCTTCAGAGAAAGCCCCCTTGCCCCTGGCCGTGTCACCCTGAGTAGCAACAGTTTGGATAATACTTCTGGCCAGTGCTCTCAGAACCACTTCTACCTTGATGGGAAACGAATATTTTGGGGTAGTTATTTACTTCGCCTGGCTACGCGGCTGTTCGGGCGTTCGTTGTTCATTAACTCCTAATGACCGGGTCTGTCAGCAACAAGCTGTGAAACCTGACCGCGTGCTAACTCCTCTTGCCTGCAGAACTACTCTTCCCGTTGTTTCTACTGAAAAAACCAAACCTCCCCCCGTGGGTTTGTATTTTCCTTCTGTTGCTTCTGTAACTCCAGCAACAATTTGAAAGGAAAAATGGTAAAGCAGGGAGAAGACTGAAAATGGTTCGATAAATGTAGTGAAAAGTAGATTAATTGCAGAATAACGGTTTCTTGTATGGTTATTTTTCACCACGGAGACGTAGGAGGCTGTAGTCATGTGGAAGGACTGTGTCTTTAAGTAAAGTTTAGTTCCATGTTAAAGAACTAAAGGAAGGGATCCTAGTGTATAGCTTTTGCATCTGATTAAACTTCCATTGGTAGGGATTTAGAAAAAGGTGGATTTTCTTCCATTGGTATTAATTAATCTGGTAACTGTAGTCAAGTAATGGGGTATAGACGTGGAAAACATTAGAACAAACAACCAAAGGAAGGTTCCGAAACAGATTATCAGTTATGAAATATAGACAAACTGGTACCATAGACCATCACTCTTGGAAATGTGTTTTTTAGCCACGGAGCAACTCGCAGACTCAGAGGATTTTAATTTCTTTAACTATCACTATAAATTCAGACGAGAAAAGAAGTTTGAGTCCTGCAGTCCAGACCTTCAGTTCGTCACCTGCACCTTCCGGGGAGAGGCAGTTTGGGGAAACCTGAGCTACGAAGTGCCCCCGGCAGGTCCCCTTAAGCCTGTCCACTTGCTGACACCACCCTCACCACAGCCTCGACTTTTTTTTTTTTCTTTTTTTTTGTTTTGTTTTTTTGTTTTGTTTTGTTTTCGAGAACAAGGGGACCTGTGAGACACCTCTTGCTGCTTGACACTGATTGAAAACGGATTAAAAAGCGAGAGGAGAGGTCAAACAACACTCCTAGATCACCGCAGCGGCCAGAAAACTTCAGACAGCCGAGGAAAGCGTTTCTCCGAGTTCGGCTGGAGCCAGGCTCGGCTCCCGGCTGCGGCACCTCCCCGGCCGGGACCGAGCCCCGGCAGCCGCCCCGAGCCGCGGGGATTCGGCTGTGCCGGGGTCCCCTCGCTGGGCTGGGGGGTCCTTGGGCACCTGCATCAATTGACCAGGGAAATACAAACGGAAGAGTGAGAAAAGGAAAGAAAACCCCTTCTTATCTAGCCGAAACCACTATCGGGCTTTTTTTCCCCACTGGGAAAATCGATGAGTTGTCATTCGCGCATGCAAGGGTGAATTTCGTAAGGCCACGATTCTGTTTTTATTTTTAAATTGTGCTCTTTATTTGTAAAATAAAAACCATCGATGCACTCTAGGAAATATCTTTCCTTTGATACTATGACTATTGAAAAGGCAGGAGTTTCAACTTTCTGAAAAGGTTTATTTCCAACCTTGGGATATAAAGCGTGTTAACTTAGAAACCAAAGGACGACAAAAGCGTTTGCAAATTTATATGTAGATAGATATTAAAAAAAATTTAAAACCCCACTTCTTTACCCTAGGATAGCAGGTAAAACCGTCCCACGAGATTTCGGGGGGCGGGATTAGCACAAGAGACAGCTTGTCTTGTTCTGTAAAAACATCACACGACCCCCAGTCTGAGAACCAGTTAGCACAAAACATGTAAGAGAGACCTTGGGGTGTTTCTTCCGAAGGGGAAAAAAGCAGGAAAGTCGCAGTTTAAGAACCAGGTCTAAGGAAAGATGTCTACATTTTGATAATGTAAAAGATGGGGAGAAGCTACTCGGAGGGATGTTAGAGGAGGAGAGTTAGAGAAATAGAGAAGCACAGAGCGGCCTTCGCCATTACCAATCTGTATGAAACGTGACTCGGTTCACCGTAAAGCGACAGCCACGGTACTTGTGACAGACACGGGGACACGGTCCCCATGGACTGAGGCAGAGCATCGGCCCTCCTGTGATACCGGCACGGGATAATTTGGAAGGGCGGCAGGCAGAGCACGTCCCCGTTTCTTTGGTGGCTCCGTGTTATCTCCTCCGTCCTGACCACCTAAAAAGCGCTGCAAGAGGGAGAGTGGCTTGGCACCGCCCTTCCGAGCTTTAGCAACGTGTCGGCAGCCCACGGACACGCGTGGGGGGAGCCCGGGCGGCCCCTCCGTGGGCCGGATGGTGGCTGTGGCGAAGACAGACACTCCACCTGCACAGCGGGGTCATAAATAAAATCGGGGCGACCCCCGGCAAGGGAAGGTCGGAGGCCAGGGCTATACGTCCCCGTCCACCAGGCTGAAGTGTTTGCCCGGCCCGGGGAGGCAGAGGTAGGGGATGGCGCTGCCCGGGCAGAGCAGGGGGAAAGGCAGCGGCAGCAAGCAGCGACTGAGCAGGGGGCTGTCCTTGTAGAGGGACGGGAAGGAGAGAGCCGAGGCGGCAGTGGGGGGCTGCGGCTCCCCGGGGGGCTCGGCCGGCCCCGGCCCCTGGCCCTCGGGCTCGGATGACATTTGTCTCTTGAGCTTGTTGCGGCGGTTCTGGAACCAGATCTTCACCTGGGTCTCGGTGAGGTGCAGCGAGGCGGCCAGCCCGGCCCGCTCGGAGCTGCTCAAGTAGCGCTTCACGTCGAAGGTGGACTCCAGCTGGAACACCTGGCTCTTGGAGAAGATGGTCCGTGTCTTCTTCCTGCCGCCCGCCGCCGACGATCTGCCGTTCTCCGCGCCGGAACCCCCGGCCTCTCGCGGCGGCGGCTGCCGGGGACCGCCTAGCTCCTCCGCGGGGAGCGGGGACCCCGCATCGCCGCCCTCGGGGAGGAGGCCGCGGCTCGTCCCTTCTGCCCGGAGCTGGCGGTGCTCGCTGCCTGCAAGGGCAAAGCGCAGCATCAGTCCCGGCCGCAGCCCGCGCCCCCGCCCCGCATGCACGCCCGGCCCGGCGGAGCGCAGGGAGAGGGTGGGGGACAGGATGGGGAGGGGGCTGCCGAGGGCTGGCCGCGGTCCCACACCCTCCAGAGGGGAGAAGAAGGGTGAGGCTCTTGCACAAGGATCCAAGGAAATCCCTCTGCCAGCTGTATAACAGGAAAGTGAGGGGCTCCTGGGCACGGGACAGACAGCCGCAGGAGGCCGGAAGGTGGGCACAACACCCTGGAATCAGGTTGGTGCGTGTGCGGCATCTCCCCGCGTCCGCCCGCGGAGCCTCCCCTCCTCCTGCGTGTGCGTGTGTGTTTGTGCGTGCGTGTCTGTGTCTGTATGTGTCTGGGACTGTGTTCGCGTGTGCCTGTATTTGTGTGTCTGTGTCTGTGTCTGTGTCTGTGTCTGTGTCTGTGTCTGTGTCTGTGCCCGTGTCTGTGTGTGCGTGTGCGCTGGCCCGGCCCGGCCCGGCCCGGCCCGGCGGCAGTGGAGTGCCCAGGTACCGCCTGGGTGGGGGCCGGACTGTGACCCGACTTGCGGGACAGCCTGAGGCGGCTGCTGGCTCCGTACCCGAGTCGCTGGAGCCTTTACTGGGGTCTTGCTCCTCAGGCCCCTCTCCCTCCTCTTCCTCCTCCTCCTCTTCCTCCGGCAGCGCGCAGCGGGCTCTGCCCTGCTCCCTGGCCGGGCGGCGGGGGCCGGGCTGCAGGATGCTGTCGATGCTGAAGGCCGGCGGCGCGGCCGGGGCCGGAGGAGCTCGGCGGCCGCCCCCGAGCTGCACCATGGCGCGGTGAGCCCAGCGTGTCCGGGCCGAGCGTGTCCGGGCCGGGAGAGTCCGGGCCGGGAGGGTCCGAGCCGGGCGTGTCCGGGTCGAACCGCGCCGAGCCGAGCCGAGCCGAGCCGAGCCGAGCCGAGCCGAGCCGAGCGGCGGGACTGGCGGCGGCGGCGGGAGAGCGGCAGCAGCAGCCGGGGCGGAGGGAAGGATGGGTCCGCGCAGGAGGAGGGGTCGGGGTGACGGAGGGAGGGGATGGAGCTAGAGGGAGCTAAAGGACTGAGGACGGGGGGAGCGGTGCACGGGAGGGAAGACTGCAGAGAGGAGAGGGAGAAGGAAAAGGAGCAGGGACTAGAGGGAAGAGGAGAGGAAGGGAGGGGCGGGGAGCACGCCGAGGTGTCCCGAAAGGCTGCCTCGGGCAGCCGCGGCAGAGCAGGGCCGCCTGCCCTCCTGCCTAGGCCCTTCCCTGTGAATGGGCGGAGGGAAGGCAGAGCCAGAGCCCACGGCAAAGGCGAAGAGGAGGTGCGATGGCAGAAGGGAGATCTCTGGATTGAAGGAAAAGAATGGAGGGAGAAGATTGGGAAGAGGGGAATGAGGAGTCCGGTGGGGAAAAGCAGAGATTGCAATCAGAGAGGGAAGGGGAGAAGGGGGGAAGGAAGGAAGGAAGGAAGGAAGGAAGGAAGGAAGGAAGGAAGGAAGGAAGCTGGGAGCTGCGAACCCCTTCCCTGTGTTTGTACAGCACTTGACACCACCCCAGGCGGTCTGCGGAGGGCATTTGCTGCAGACTGTCTGTGCCGCTGCTCGGCAGTGGGGCAGACTGTGGGAGGGTAGTTCATATAGCCAGAGTCTCTTCCCTGCAGTCCTTTCACCTGCAGACTCTCAGACTGAACACAAATGGCTCCCCTGGGGAGAAAGGGACCCTTTTTTCCTCCCAAGGAGCCCCGTGGAGTCAGGCCACCCCAAAATCCACACATAACTTCCACACATTCCCCCCACAGTTCACCATCCCCTGCCCTCCCCGCAGGTCAGCAGAGCCCTTCTGTAGCTTTCAAATGAGAAAGTGCCGGCCGGCTGCGTGGGATGTGTGAGTTCTCCAAGGTGTGCCTTGGGAGATGGAGAGGCGTTCACCTGAGCTGTGCAACCTGGGGAAGGATCGATGTGTTTCTGTACTATCTTGAGAACTTTTGCTTCCCACACCTCCCAGCACTGCAGCGTTTTAAAACACGTTTGCACTACTCGAAGCAGGACCCCCAGCGATTTTAGAGCCGCCATCCGTTGTGCATCACAGGGAAACATTTCCCTCTCTGCTTCCTCGTGTAAAGCCAGGGAAATGCTTCCAACGGCTTTCAGTGCGAGTCTTGAGGTTTCCACCACGAAAACTGCTGAGGGAAAGCGAGAAGTCCTTGAAAAAGAGTTGGCAATAGAAGTGCTAACAGGCATTTAGAAATTGTGATGCTAGAGATTCCACGAGCTAAAATTAGTGGCATCTTAAGGCTTTGGACTGCGTTAATCTTTAACGCACTGGTACTTGAGAGAGCGGTTTTCAGCTCTTTTTCATGAATTTTTTTTCACTTTATGAATGCACTAAAATTTTAGTGCAGCCTTCTGCTGGAGACCTGCACGTTTTCCACCAGCCGAAAAAGAAATGTGTCCATCTTCCATCAATATGATTATTGGCCAAATACCCGAACTTGTTGCATTTGTCTTGCAGTCTCCTATACGAACTAGGCATTTTATCAGGGCAAAATATTCATTTGAGAGAGAGAGAGGGAAGGACCAAGGGAATGATGCAGGAAAGAGCTACAAAATACTAAGAAGCAGCTGAAAACATAATTTAAGAAATTTGGTCTGAGATGGTAAAACTAGGAGCATGGGAGCCTTGGTCGCCAGGTCGGGTGGTTCTTTGGGCTCCTGTCTCGGCCTCCCTTAGTGCTGTCTGTGAGGAAGGCACGTCCCAGGTGCTCACATCTGTTCTCTCTGCAAACCATTTCCGTTCTAGTTCCAAAAAGAAAAAATAAATCCGTCCTAAAAAAGCGAATGCCTTGATTCAGTGTATTTTCCTAGAAGATATTTTCTTAGGAAAAAAAAAAGTGAAAGTTGAAAAAGACAGAAATAAGAAGGAAAGTGATGAAGGAGAGATAAGTTTTACTACCTAATCTTTTTTTTCACCACAGCCCCCTCCACTTCCCGAGCAGTCCAAGCCCAACCCTGGGAGACACAGTCCAGTAACATCCTGCTGGGAAAGGTCTGTCATCCATTCCCAGTCCCATTTGGCCACTTTTCAAACCCAGGTTTGTTTGGTTTTTTATTTGTATTTTCGGTTTGCTTTGGATTCTTTTCACGGTTTATTTATTTTTCTTTTTGTTTGCTTGTTTATTGATTGGTTTGGTTTTTTGGCTTGGTTTGGGTTTAGTTTTAGTTTTAGTTTTAGTTTAGTTTTAGTTTTAGTTTTAGTTTTATTTGGTTCTCCCCGACAAACTTTGTGCAGAGGGAGCACGCTACGCTGAGCGCTGGATCTCTTCAGAGATCCTGGGACAAACAGGAA